TTTTCTCGTATGTTGCTTTAAATACTAAATTAATAACAGTCCTCTTCACAGGAATTGTTTTGCATGTAAGAAGTGGTATGTTTTAAGTTGTGTGGCTACAGAACATGTTTCTAACATTTAAGTATAGGGTAAAGGAAAAGTTGGCCCTGAGCTTCATTAATTAAATACCCCACCATGAAGTCGTGTGGGAGAGTTGTGTTTTAGTTCCATCATTCTTGACTTCAGCACTAGATGGAGGTGAATGGGCAACTTCATGACCCAGCCACTTTAACCCCAAGGAAAGAGCCCTTGGTACTTTTTGGATAGGAGGCTGGGTGGGCCCCAGAGCCAGTCTCAAATGTCTGGATGCTGTGGAGAAGAGAAAAATCTCTTGCTTGTCAAGAATTGAATCCAGACCTTCCAGCCTGTAGGCCGTTGCTATACCAACTGACCTATTTGATTGTTGTCACCAGAAACATTTGCTTGAGAATTCTGAAATACTGTATACAGAACAGCACATTATAAACTGTCATATACTGATGCTTATGATTGTGTTTTTAACATTGTGTTTAAGACTTACAGAAGGAAAGAAAATAGATTGTGATGAAATTAATATCAAATGGCAAAGATAATGGACTATTATTAACCCTTTCACTTCCTTCCCCATGACTGTGTGGTTTGTGCATCGATGAATGTTGAGCAAGAACTTGCAAGACAATATTTCTTTAACGTATTATTATGCATTCTTTACACAATGTGCATCCATGACTGCAAATGTGTATATGTCCATCCAAATGTTTCAACTTGAGGTCTGCTTGCTGCACTGTTCCAGCTTTCTGGTGTCATGTCACACATTTACATGTTATTGTAATGGTTATCTCTTTTGGCTCCACTATTCAGGTTTTCTGGAGTTAGCAGGGGATACACAGACATGCAGACAGAAAGGTGATCTCTCGAAGTTCATTTTATTTTGTTCATATAAGGAAAGTAGGCAAAAATGATCTAAGAGAAATATACTTGTGAAGGGTGAAGCTTGATTAAGATATGGTCCTGGTAGCTCTCTCTCCCTCCAGTCCTTTTTTCTAGACCTTGGCCACTTTTTCAGTTTCTTAATCCTATACACAGTTGCGATCAGCCTGTCTCAAGGCTTATGGTGTTGGTGAGTCTNGCCTAAACCCAGAAGACAACTTTCTTCATTGTCATCGCCGTGAAAACCTCAAAACTGAAAGGAACATAATTATTTGTTATTTTTCAGATAAAATATGCACAGCCCAAGGAGAGCAGCAGTTGTATTTTTGGGATGGAGAAGGACCTGTTCATGTCAAAATAGGACAAATGATACAAAATGGAAGGACAGAATTTTGGGATATAGCTCAATGATGGGAACAGAATCACACAGCTCTTACTGTAGAGCTGTTAGGAACTCATCAGAGCAACATACTGCCGACAGGCTCTATGACTCCAGAGAAGTATCATTACTAGAAATGACTATGAAGGAAGGAGTTACACGTAATGATGTAATAAATGATTTAGACATATTACCAGATTTATTGAATAGATCACCATTGCAATGGGAGAACTGTTTCAAGGAATTAAAATTGCACGGATATGCACAAAGATACTGCTTAAGTATGGTAGCTGCATATCCATATTTATTTATATTGGTAGAAAATAATGAATTCATTTTGTCTATGGCACACTGGATGGATTGTCAACTTGGATATGACAATGTGCTGGATCTACTGGCAGCTTGCTGTCACTTTGTCTGTTACTGGAAATGAACTGTCATGCAGAATACCACTGTTATCTTCATTAGGGAAGTCACGCGGAAAAAAATGTTGCAAAATTGCGACAAATCTGTCCTAGAGTTCTCTTTGTAAACTGGGAAGATGTGGAAATAAAGTTGGATTATGTAGAAAAGTTATGACAATTGACACAAAAAAGGAAACCTTAACCAACTCATATGTTCAATCATAGTTTGGACGAAATTCAGACTAGGCATATATTTTTACAAAGATTTGTATCATGTACAGATGTTATGTTACTTAGATACTAGAGCATTTGTTACGTTGAAAACAGTAAAGCATCTGACATGCATTTTGGAAGGACCTGTTTTGATTTGTGGCTAGATACCATATATCCTGAGAAATTTTCATAGTTTCTCAGAGTCCTTTTCAGCAGATTTTTGATACTACCTTAAGAGGTATGAGAACCACTTGCTTTCCTGTCCTTTGTAATTCATTTGTGTATAATCATTGTCATTCTATTTCATACTGAATAACCTCTGCAGTTAATACAGTACTGCTAATAGCCTGTAGACTAAAAAATGCTCAAAGAATGAACTATGGGAATGAAGTCTGTGCAGTGGAAAACATGGCAGTTGATTGATTAATATAATACTGGTATTCTCATTGATGTATTTCAGTACATTATGCGCAGATTATGAAAATGTTACTAAATTTTTCATCCATAGCTCGTTTTGCAAAACTACATTAGTTATTTTAAAAATATGAAAATGTCTAACAGCTGATAAATCATTGGCTAAGAGAGTGGTAAGAATGCAGCTATTGGTTTATAGGTCACTCAGAAATTGGTCAGGAAGTCAACATGTTATGTCATGATTAGTCAAAACTGGCACTTCATAGCAAACTGTGTATCTTATGGCTTGCTGTGTGTTAAATTTTGATGCTTTTCTTTGAAAGTGGTCAGTGATACATAGTTTTCAGGCTGAAATTTAAATTCAACAAATTCAAATTTATTAGAATCACTCATTTTCTTAATAGCAGAGGAAAAGTTGTTTTACTGTACAGTGTTATGGATTATGTAAGGAACTATGTCAGTTGTAATGTTATTTAAGATCAAGTGAAATGTGATGATGACAATAAATACTGAATCAGAAAGGAAGGTATTTAGAACTCACAGCTCCTTTAAGTGAACTAAATTAGCTTTCATCTGGAAGGACTGAGAAAATTCTTGAGAGGCTTCAGTCAAGATTGCAGAATGCAAGTCATATGCATTATTGCAGACCCAGCCTGCTGAATGAGTATGCTGGATATTAGTTTCCAGCTAGTGTTCTGTGCAGCTGTATTACAAATAACCAACTACATGAAGCTGGACACTGAGGTGGATGTTAATAAAGCTTGGGAAACTATTAAAGAGAATATAAAAATTTCTGCCAAGGAGAGTCTAGGTTACTATGAAATGAAGAAGCATCAGTGATGGTTCAATGAAGGATGCTCAAAATTACTAGACCAAAGAAAACAAGCCAAACTGCAAAGGTTACAGGAGCCAAGCGAGTTAAATGGGGATAATCTGAACAAAATAAGATATGAAACCAGCAAGCATTTCAGGAACAAAAAGAGGGAATATCTGAAAGACAAAATTGATGAGCTTGCAATGAACAGTAAGAACAAGAACATTAGAGACCTGTATAGAGGAATAAATGACTTCAAGAGAGGTTACCAACCTAGAAGTAACTTAGTCAAAGATGAGAATGGTGATCTGCTTGCTGATTCCCACAACATTTTGAACAGGTGGAAGAACTACTTCTCTCACTTATTTAATGTACATAGGGTCAGTGATGTTAGGTTGACTGAAATCCATACAGTTGAGCTGTTACTACCTGATACTAGCCCTTTTGAGGTTGAAAGTGCTATTGTTAAAATTGAAAAGGTATAAATCGCCAGGTAGTGATCAAATTCCGGCAGAACTTGTTCGAGCAGGAGGCGAAATATTACATTCTAAGATCCATAAGCTAATTACTTCTATTTGGCATAAGGAAAAACTGCCTGATCAGTGGAAGGAATCTATTACTGTACCAGTTCACAAGAAGGGTGATAGAACTGACTGTAGTAATTATCGTGGATATCACTGCAATCATCTTCATACAAAATTTTATCCAGTATTCTTCTCTCAAGGTTAAGTCCATATATAGATAAATTATTGGGGATCATCAGTGTGGGTTTAGGTGTGACAGATCAACTACAGATCAGATCTTTAGCATTCATCAGATATTGGAAAAATAATGGGAGTACAATGAGACAGTACATCAGCTATCTGAAGACTTCAAAAAAGCCTATGATTCTGTTAAGAGGGAAGTATTGTACAATATTCTGATAAGAGTTTGGGATACACATGAAACTAGTTAACCTGATTAAAATGTGTTTAAATAAAACTTATAGTAAAGTCTGTATAGGCAAACATTTGTCCAATAAATTTTCTATCCAGAATGGTCTAAGACAAGGAGATGCATTATCACCATTCCTTTTAACTTTGCTTTAGAATATGCCATTAGGAAGGTCCAGGAAAACCAGGTGGCACTGATATTAAACGGGACACATCAGCTGTTGGTCTATGATGATGATGTGAATCTACTGGGTCATAATATAGATACCTTGAAGAAAAACACTAACTTTAAATGAAGCAAGTAATGAGGTTGGTCTAGATGTAAAGATAGAGAAAACTAAGTAAATGTTACTGTCTTGTCATGCAAAATCATGGCATAACAACAGAAAACAGATGTTTTGAAAATGGGGCACAGTTCAGATATTTGGGAACAACAATAACACATCAAAACCTGTTTCAGGAGGAAATTAAGAGGAGATTGGACTCAGGTAATGCTTGCTACCATTCAGTCCAGAAACTTTTGTCTTCTTGTAAGATTTGAGGCTTTCACGGCGGTGACTATGAAGAAAGCAGTCTTCNGAAATCAACTAACAGATGGCGGCAAGGTTGTCAGCCTTACAATATTAAAATGGATCTTAGAGACATAGGATGGGATGGTATCGATTGGATTGATCTGGCTCAGGATAGGGACCAGTGGAGGGCGCTTGTGAACACGGTAATGCACGTTCAGGTTCCATAGAATGCTGGGAAATTCTTGAGTGGCTGCACAATTGGCGGCTTCTCAAGAAGAGCTCAGCTCCATAAGTAAATAAGTTGAGCTACCTCGAAGAATGAACAGATTTAGGAAAATAGGTTTTCAATATCACAAAAAGCCAGGTATAATAAAAACAAGAAAATACATTTAATAAAATTATATTTATCCAAAAAGAGTACTTACATCTATTAAATAACGATTTGATATATTATTATTATATTGCTCTAACAATGAATCTAGTTTCATCTATTAAACAACTTGATATATCACGTGATACTACCTCTAACTATCAATTTAGTTACATTTATTAAATAATGATTTCATATATTAACGCTCTGTAACCTCTAACAATAATGTTCATTTTTATAACACATCAGATGAAAAGACAGTTTATGAATCCAATTTAGGAGCATTAGGCCAGGTTACTGTCCTCTTCAAAGCTATGTCATCCAAATTTTCCATAATGTGCTGAAAGCTCCGCTTAATTTCTAAGCCACACCCTTTCCAGAGTCTAAAATCAACCAATCTGTCACCGTCCATATCAAGAACAGCGGCTGGTTGTAACTGTTAACTGAAAAAAAGAATACGATGCCATTAACATTTACAGAATGTTATAGAACATCACAGGGATGGGAAAGTCCACATGCCTCTTTGTGCATTAAGTAACTTCAAGAGAAAAGGGAAGACGTTACAGATATATGAATTACAGCCCAGGGATGAAATCAAACACAGAAAATGTGAGGAGTGACAACTAATGATTTGGGAGCAAAATCGAAGATAAATACAGGATCTGTAAAATTTATTCCAACGAAAGTTCTGAATGAACATGCAAGCCAACAAAACAACCTGCCAAAATGATCCCCAAAATCTCAGTAGACAGCGAAATACGAGAAAAGAAACTTGTTCTGTTTTCACGCAAGATGGTTGCACACAGGGATGCAAAAGCCCTCAAGTTCCTTTGTGCATTAAGTATATTCAAGAGAAAAGGAAAGACATTACATATATAAATTTGCTGTAGCAGATCGAGTGAATTCAAAAATTTTGTTGGATAATTAACCGCTTCATCTGCTTCCACAACAGTGTCGACGGACTTGTATGTGACTGCCACACAGTGAATGTTAGACTGAATGATATTGTTAAGTTCGTAGACGTCTTTGTTCTTGGCCGCAAGAATAGCTCGTTCACTCAGCCAATCGTGATTCTTATAATTGGTTTGAATATTGGGACATACTTTTTCAACCAATTCTTCCTTTGACGTCACTAAATTGCAGAAGTTATGAGGCAACGAAATTCATCCTGAGGTCAGATCAACCGGCACCTTTCTGTTCCCAATTTCCAGCAATTGATGTGAGAATACCTCAGCTGATCGATCATTTTGCAGCTGGACACACATATTTGTAGTTAATTTTAACGTCTTTACGTGTCGCCACAAAGTAGAGTATTTCAGGCAAGCATTTATTTCGTCCGCTGGTGTCAATCGAGGAATTACAGGTAATGTTTGCCTGAAATCTCCTGCAAGCAATATTAATGCGTTCCCAAATGGTCTGATGTTTCCACGCAAATCTTGCAATGATCGATAAAGAGCCTCGAGCGATTTTTTGTGCACCATTGTGCATTCATCCCAAACAATAAGTTTGCATTTCTGCAATACCCTTCCCATGCCTGATCCTTTGGAAATTTTGCACATGGGAGTTTCAATGAATTGCATGTTCAATGGCAATTTCAAAGCAGAATGAGCAGTTCTTCCACCTGGTAGCAATGTTGCAGCTATTCCGGACAATGCAATAGCTAAGGCTATGTCATTTTGGGATTGAATTGCTGCCAGAATCAATCTAATTAGGAACATTTTACCAGTTCTTCCTGGCGCATCTAAGAAGAAGAATTCTGCAACCCCGTTATTGACAGTTTGCATTATTTGATCATAAATGCCATTTTGCTCAGGCGTTAGCTTAGGAATATTTGATTGCACATATGACAAAAGATCACCCGTGTTGTAATTTTGTTCATGACGCAATTCTACATTGAACGAAGCAGCAGCAGATTGATTCGGTGATGGCATTCCCAATTGATTGAGAACTTTGTTCACGATTTCCAAGCACAAATCTTCAATCATTATCAATGCTTCGTTGCAGATTTCTGCTGTGAAATCCATGTTCGTATTGGAATTTTCCTTGCGTATTCAATGGAAAATATCTTCAGCCATGTGTGATTTATATTTCTCCCATAACTCTGTTGGAGAAGAAGGAGAGCAAGCAGTCAACATGACTGCAAACAATGCAGAAATTTGATGTGGATGTGACGTGTTGCACGCGTCAGTAATGCATGTAGCATGTTTGGGTATGTGACGCTACAAATAACTTTACGCTGTATTAATTATAGCGAATCAGAAATTACAGCTCAGGAATGAAATCAAACATGGAAAATGTGAGGACTGAAAACTGATGGTTTGGAAGGGAGCAAAAGTGAAGGTAAATACAAACAAACAAAACTCTGTGACTTGAGTCTGCAAGCAAACCATACCGACCGAGTGACTGCTGCTTGTTAGCAAAGTTAGTGCCAACTTCAGGGGATAGAGGGTGCTGCGTGGTCAGTGCAATGAATCCCCTTGGCCATTAATTTCGGTTTTCTAGAATGGAGCCACTATTTCCTTGAAATAGCTCCACAATTATCATCACGATGCTGAGTGGACCCGTTCCAGACCCACTACTTCTCAGAAAATCTTCTAGTGCCACGAATCCAACCTGCACCTCTGGATCTGTAGGCAGGATCTTTGACCACTAGACCACAGAGGAGGTCCAAAGATAAATACAGGATCTGCAAAATTCATTCTGACCAAAGTTCTGAATGAACATGCAAACATGCCAAAATGACACCCAAAAATCCCAGTAGACAGCAAAATATAAGAAAAGAAACTTGCTCTGTTTTCAGGCAAGATGGTTGCATACAGGGATGGAAAAGTCCACATGTTTCTTTGCGCATTAAGTAACTTCAAGTGGCAGCGACAATGGTTAAGTGTCGGGTGTTTTAGTATGACCCAGAAACAGGAGACCAGTAAGACACAGGAGAGAACTGTATGCACACCAGGCATGCCCAAGCAATCAGTGAAAATCGATGATTACATACCACTTTGGCTGCAATTCTCCAGGTATAACTCAATTTATCAAATAATTTGCATAGTTTTTCAATTGTTTCCTTATAATCTGTACATACACAAAAGCATGTCATGCGTCGCACCAGGATTTGAAGTATTCTGTGAAAAAAACACGACTTCTACTCATTTTTAAAAAAAAAAATATTAGATTCAGAGCTCTCTTAGCACTACATACCTGACTGGAAGTCTGTGTACATGGCTGAGTAGCATGCAGCTGTGAATTCAGCACCATATCATTCAGGTGCGCTGGCTGTGAAAATGACAATGTCCCCTCTTCTTCCTGCATAGCTGCAGCAACACTCTCAACTGGTACACAGGGCTGCTCTAACCTTGGTTCTGGCTGAGATCTACTCAGTCTGGCCACTGAGTCATCCAAAGCCCAGCCATCATGTGCTGCGCCAGGGGGAGAGAATGTAGATACTTCACTCCCACAGCAAAAGCGCTTGTTCTGCTGCTCGTCTCTTGGTGAATCAATGCCCATCTTTGGTGATGCTGAAACACAATTCTCTCAATGAAGTAATTTAAATATTAAAAATTTGCAGTCACTTATGATACAGAGTAACTGGAGAAAGAGCGGCCTCCGTCGTCTAGGGGTAATGTTCCCACCTCATGACTCAAGGTACGCGGGTTCAAACCCGGCGGAGGTCATGGAATTTTTAAGGGCAGAAAAAATTCAGGGAACAAGTCCTCCAGGAGGGACTTTAAGCCATGGGTCCCGTGTCGTAGATTTACGGTACGTAAAACAACCTCATGTCTCTAGGAGACCTCTGAGCTAAATTAGGCAAATTTTTCCTCCCAAGTAGTTTCCAATGCCTCTGGTAGATGGGGAAAGTATTAGGAACCACTGCCAGATGAGGACCGAAACCTCGCTGACAGAAAGGGACTAATTATCAGATACCACTGCCAGTAGAGGACCGACCTCACTAGCAGAAAGGGGCTGATAGCAGGCACCAGTACCGGTAGGGTATGGAGACAGTAGAAATTAAAGGGGGACGCACAATGGACCAATAACTGGTCTAACAAGGGAATGTCCAATCCGACATGTCGAAACCTGCCCTGATTTTTTTTTCACTGCAAGAGTACACACAACAAAATCCACTGTCAAAATTTTAGCTAATATGCACTGCAAGTATTTTTTAAAAATTGCTGAACATGGCCAATATTATAGCCTGCCAGACCCTTGGAAAAATGTCCACCCCTAGCAGAGCAGTACACAAAACGCAACATGGCTGACTCACAGCCTAGGCTTCCGGTGCATCGGTAGAGAGATAACATGGTGCAAATGCATCGTAATCTTACAAGTACACGTTAGTTTTTCTTTTGATAGTTACTCTGACAGTATTTGCAAGTGATTTACTATCCAGATCCAACCATAGTTACCATTTTATTTTGAGGTACGTGTTAACAGTGCACTATCGTTTGTCCTTGTTACCCAAGGTCAAGCTCACGCTGTCTCGCCACAGCTGGGGTTGTACAAACCTCTGGTACAAGCGGTTCCGCATACACAAAAAATGAGTAACTTCGGCAATTTTTAAAAAATACTTGCAGTGCGTATTAGCAGCTAAAATTTTGACAGTGGATTTTGTTGTGTACTCTTTTGCAGTGAAAAAAAAATCAGGGCAGGTTTCTCAACTTGTCGGATTGGACCATCCCCTTATAAGTGCATGGGGGGAAACACACCCCC